GATGTTTAATAACTGCATTAAAATTTTATTTTTTTGAATGAGGTTTTTATAATTTTTAAGCGACACTTTTTTCAAATTAATATTTTATGGAAGCATCTAGATACTTTGCCGATTCGTGTGTAAATTTCAAGTAATTAATTTGGAACTATAAGTGAGATTTTGATTTTTGTTTTGCATTTTTAAATGATATTAAACGTTTGTTTTTTGTTTTTTTAAGTGAATCTCAATTAAGGTTTAATAATAAATTTGAGAATAACTCCATACAGCACTTGGTTCAATCGAACAAATATAACAAACATGATTAGAAATAATATTAAATTTCCTAAAATATGTATACGAGCAACAAAGTCCATCAATTACCCAAATTTAATTTTCCAATGCACATCTTGCATTAAAAAATATTCATTAGTACAGTTTCTTCACTTTCAATTACATACATACCGTCGCACTCTTTGAGTACAGTTTAAAGAGCCTACGGAAATGCATAATCCTCCGGTTAAGAAAAAAAGAGGCAGCAAAACTTCGCTAATGATGTTGCAGGAAAAAAAATATCTGCAACAATTTCAGTAATTCTACTTGTGCTTACATACGTATATGCCTGTACATTATGATGAGAGAAGAAATAAGATTTAAAGCAATTTCTTTAAATTGCTTTAAAATTTTTAATTTTTCTTATTTCCTTAAATATGTATGAGAATGCACAATATTCATTTTCAATTTATCAATTTAAAATTTGGCACGTGCTTGATAAGTGAGCAAGCATTTATATCTAAATATAGAAAGCATAATTGTGTTAAAAAAGGAGAACACCTTATTTTGATATTAAGCAAATCGATTATTGCGACTGAATAAGAAATGGAAATCATTGTGCATACTTTTGTTGAAAAATTAAAGAAAAAAAATTAAAAACAAGTTTAAAAGTTATGTCTATAAAAAAATAAAAATAAAGGAAAATAAAATAAATAAAAAATAAATTTTATAAAATTTTCATCTCCATCAATGCAACTCTTGAGTGAATGAATCATTTTCCAGTTGTTCTGGATTGTGTCAATTGTTTTATTTAAACACAGCTTAAAGTGGCTTAAAGTTGACTTCTGGTTTAAAGCATATAAAGTTTTAAGCTTAGCAAAGTTTAGACGTTTTTTCAATTTTAGAAGAAATAATCCTTGAGCTTAATATTCTTAAGTTTCTTTTATTCCCAGTTATCTAAAATAGTTGATATTAAAAACAACAAAAAGTTAAAAATTCATGTCTGAAACTTTGTAAATTTTTGATGATGAAGGATTTATTCTTAAAAAATAAGTTGGTGAAACCATAAGGAACGTAATGTTTTATGCTGTTTTTTGTTGTTTGACTGCTCACAAAAAAATATAAGTATTGATAGTGATCACGTAATTACTCGACGTTCAAGTAATTAAAAATTGTGCCGATGACACCAGTTTTATGGTTACTTGGTTCTTAAGAGGACTAAGCTTTAATGGCTGTCCTTATAAACCAGTGGCATTAAGCTTTGGGTTATAAAGATAAATTAATATGTTTTTTTGCAAAACACCAAAACCTAATGATAAAGTAAATCTTGAACTATAATCTTGGTGGTTTTTGGAAAACTTGAAAAACCTCTTCAAGTTAAAAAAATCAGATCTTCTTTCTGATGCTTAAAAAGTTGCTTGTAAAGTTCAAAAATAATCATAAATACGTTAGTCCAGAAAAATTGAATCATAACTTTTAACTTTATTTTATTTAACGATAAATGACACTCATATTAAATGCATAGTGCATTTGTGTTGAGTGATTACAATGTTCATCATCATCATCATCAATGAAATAAACGACAGCGTAAATTCAATTTTTTAATGCCTTGCAATTACGAAGAGCTGTATTAAACTTAAAAATATTACACTATGTATGTACTGCGAAAATGAAAAATAAAGTATTAAAGTGTAAAACAACAATCAGCAGTATATACTTATTGCATTTAATCACAATAATTAAATAATTTTTAAACATTATGAGTATGAAAAATAAAAAAATCACTTTTGATTACACAAAATTTTCATATTCATCACTATTTCCTGCTTCATGGATGCGTGCGCGTTAACTATCTATTTTGTAAAGTTTGATTATTAAAATTGGTTCACTTATAAATTTGTCACAATTTTCTATGGATTTATTTGGTAAAAATGTTTAAACATTTTAGTCACCGACCATCTAAGCGGAAAACTATGTTCGTCCGATAATGTTATTAGTTTAAATACTCTTCACACTCGCTCTACCATTAAATTATTAATATTTGAAATTTCAATGCTGCATTTTATAAAATTAACAGCTTTACAAAAATAAAGTTAAAATGGGATTTTTGTACCATATATGACCTGAAAGATTTATGCAATGTGCTTATAATTTTAAAGTTATGAGATAGGTGAGGGGGTCCTTTTTCTACGATTCTACAAGAAACTTTTCATTTTCTTTTAAGTTGTGACTTGATACAGAATAGTAATAGGATTTTATGGATTTTTGTTTTTACTGGTTTTAACATAAGCAGAAAAAAAACAGAATAAACAGTAAACTGATAAGTTTTTTAAGACCCCCCTCAAGTTTTTTTGGCTACGCCCCCCGACAATCAAATAATTGCTGCATCCAATTTTTTATTTTTAATTTTAGGGTTAACAACATTAATTTTGATTTTTTCTGTGACTAAGCTTCTCTTTTGAGAGAATTAAAGAGGATTTGCTAGGAATAAAATTTATATACTTGATAACATCTTTCTAATGAACAATCCGAATCGTTTTTTGTTTGAAAATCATTGACAATCAATTCAATTTCTACCGGAAATACTTAACAATTGACTTAATCTTTACTTGATCGAAATAATTTCTTAAAAACCAATTAAAATAATGCATAAACAGAATTAATCTAAACAAATAAAGTCATCATTCAGAAATCAATTTGGCAATAAAATATTTTATCAAAAAGGAATTTTTTTCATTTAATAGAATTCATTGACAAATCGGGCAAAATGTCCACAGGAAATATCCAGAATAAGGTGAACTCAATGCGTGAGTAGCAAACGTATTTATTGATACACATGTATTTACTTGTTTCAGGTATAACTTGAATTCGCCAAACCACGATGGTAATAGTAACGCTCCGACGCTTTTTACATTTGTAGTTTCCACTTACATTTTTAATTTCTCAAATTAATTAATAATGGATTTTCAATATGACAACCAAAAAAGAGGTTACATTTCAATTAGAATTATTTTCGTTCTATGAATTAATTTAAAGTCTACGGGCATTGGTCTTTTGAGAAGCTTAAATAAATAAGCTTCATAACGACATCATTATTAGCTTTGATCAACAGGATCAAATAATATTAATAATATTTTTGTTAAAAAGAACAGTTGAAGGCATGCTTACAACCAGGGGCGTAGCCAGGGGGGGGCCATAGGGGGCCCGGGCCCCCCCTACGAAAATCTGATATTTGTTTTATTAAGTTTATTTATAGAGAAGAACCAGTTAATGTAGAGGAAGTGATGAAAGAAATGTCAAAATCAGCACGAAAATTTAAATTTAATGTATGAATAATGAATTAAATATTTAAACTTATGAAGAATGAAAATAGATTTAAGGATACAAAATAACGGTTTTTCAATTTTCGAAAATGGGCCCCCCCCTTAAAAATTTTCTGGCTACGCCCCTGCTTACAACCTACTAAATAGAGGTATGTAAGATAAAAATAAGCAATAAAATCTAGACATCTTCATCAGTGCTAACCACAGGATAATAAAGAGAGATATTTAAATCAGATTTACAATATGCACGATACATGCTAGACATTACTATAGCTTGAAAAAGAAGAATTAACCATTAAATTAACTTTTAAAATGTCAAAATTTCGTACACAATATTCGTGAAGTTTTCATTTGAAAATTAATTTTAATATCATGTAACATGTACGTAGAAGCTACATATATGAAGTTGAAGGTTATCACCATTGTTTTGTAAAAGGAAACAAAGACATTAAAATTAAAAATATATAGATATAGGTTTATGCTACATCTGTCATTTAAATTATTCGATAAAATAATTAAACGAATGCTGATTTTATAACATGCATAAAAACATTCATTCATTTCACCGCTACATGCTCAATACAATGCTCCTTATTTATCTCATGTGATCGAAACTATTGTGTATTTCTTTAAGTACATGAAATTAATTTTAACAACTAATTAGGCGACATAAAGTGAACCAAAAAGTCTTTGAATGAAGAAGTCAATGAAGAAGTTAAAGAGATCAGTACACATAGTAATTAATTTATTTTTGCTTTGTTTGCATTTACAATTTATGCATTGCTACCAGTAATGTAAAATATACTGATAAATGAATAAACAATAGAATGCACTTGCGGTTGTAAAAAAAAGAAATTGTCGGAACAAGAGAATTGCTAAGATATCTTTTATCTTCATAAAGAACATTGAACACATGATCAATATACAAGTGGGCCCCGTCGATATTGTTATGCTCATCAGTACTACACTGATTTCTCTTATTGCAGTCATTTAATGAATGTAAGTTGTAGAAATCACTGGAATGTTTAAAAATTCAATTCCTTTTGCAAAAATTCTCACGAAAATAAAACATAACAGCTTATTCGATCATTCCGCACAGTTTCCGATTTTTTTGTTGAATCCCTTAGAGGAACTACTATAAAAATAATATGCCTTCTCATTTTCAGAGATTTTTTTTCCATACACACACGTAGCACCCTGAAGAAAATTCTTTACGGAGAGCTCTTCATGCTTAATAATTTTTGTCACATTTTATGAGGGAATCATATTTTCATTCTCACATAAATCCTCATTCCATAGCAATGAGGAAATGAGGGGAAAATTAAATTAATGGTATAAATTGTGGGTGGCTCAATTATTTATTTAAATAAATCATAAACTTTCTTTCTTAATTCAATTGCGGTTTAATTTATTAAACATAATACTCACTTAGAATTTTTTTCACAATCTGTTTTTAATTTTCCTTGATGATTAATTTATGTTTCCTTTATTCTTCCTTTTTTTTATTAATTTTCAATTATTTTTTCTTTATTCACTTTTAGCTGTTACATTTCATATATGATTAATTTTACACAATCCTTTTTTCAGCACTCACATTTATTGTTTTATAATTTTTTTTCTCTTCTTTATGAGAGGAACGAATGAAATTAGAAATTTTTGCAAACTCTTCGATCAACAGTCATACTTGTTCTAACAACGAAATACAAAAAAATATTTTTAATTTTCCTTCAACAGACTTTTGGAGCACACATATATAAAAAAAAATATTTATATAAAAAAAATATATATAAGAAGATAACATTCGACCAGACCTTTCGAGTGAGAGATGTACAACAAAAGGGAAAAAAAATTTTAGCTCAAAATTCGAAGTGTTTTTCTCACAAACACAACAACTTGAATAAAAAATAGTTTCAAAAATATCAACGCTTTATAATAAAAGAATATTTTTTGCTCCATGTTCAAAGCGAGGGAGCATAAAAGGGAAACACAAACAATGGAAAAACATGATAAAAACATTCGCTGTTTCAAATGAGGACGTTGCTTTTCTTGTTTTCTTTATTCTCACTCAACTCTATAGGTTGACTTTTCCAATGTTTTTAACAATTTTTGTTATTTTATCTACATTTGCCGGTTAAACATTGCTCACTCTCTGAATAAATAGGTATGTGTTTTGCATATTGGGGAACACAAAAATTATTTTAATGCTCATAAATTTCAACTGAAATAAAAAAAAATGAATGCATTGAAAATCATGTGGTAAAAATTCACAATTTTTCTTTCTGAAACTCCAATAAATTAATTTAAGAGGGTCTGAAATTCTTTGTTTCAAATGACATATGCTTTTTTGAGGAAGGTCGCGAATTTGAAATTACCCAGAATAATAGTATTGTTCTTATTTCTTCCTTCTTTTCACTTCTCATTTCTCTCCTTTTTGTTTTATAATTTTTTTAAACCAAATTTATTGCATTGAGATAAAAAATATCACTTCCAATGCTTGAAATTCTTTTCTATCTCTTAAATTTTTAAATTCACATGACTCGCTAATTTCCTATTCAAAATTAAAGCTGAGAGAAATTTTTCATAATTCATTTGTTTCTTAAATTTAATAGACAGTGACTTATTATTTTTGATATGACGTTTTTAAATGCTGAAAAATTTGAATAAGCTAAGACATTTAAATATTAATGTTATAAGCAAACAAAGTGTCACGTCTCCAATATTTTGGAAAATCTAATGAAATCTTTCCAAAGGAAAGCTTAAAATGCCATAAAGTCATTCTTAAAGAAGTAAAAGTCATCATGTTCCGCTTGCATAAGGTCAATAAGCTCATAAATTAGTCCTTTTTTGTCAACTATTTTCATTGTGATTATGTCTATGTTTTACGGTTAATTTGTATCTTTTGAAAATAAAATAAAGCATAATATTGCACATAAGGATTATCTAGAATAAACATACTTGAATAATCCCAAAAAAGAATATTATAATGATGTTAAAAATTTATTAAATATTCAACAGTTTGAAACGCATGACTTATAAATTTAAGCAACAACATGAAGCATTATACCACGCAGCCGTCGCAAGTAAAACAAAGAAACATTGAATACGGGCTCCACCTCCATTACCGATGAAAACTTGGCGCTAATTTTTTCGATTGGTTAGAAACAAAGAAAATTATAAACATAAATAAATTAATTTCTTTGTTTAGTGATGCTAACAGTCTGTATTGCTACGTGCTTTCAAATGAATAGTTTTGCTATACACTATACAATATCAAAAGCGCTATGCAATAATAATTAGAGATAAGCACTAATTGGAAACCGTAAAACTATAGTTCATATACCCACTACAAATCAGAAAATTTCATTTATTTATTTGTTTATTGTCTTGAGGTTCTTTTTTTTTTTGTTTCAATTCATTTCATTATTCAATGTGATGAAAAATTTAAAATCAATTTTCCGAATAAAAAAAAAGTCATGGGAGTCAAGCGTAAAGCTTAGCGTAACAAAGAAACAATTTAATTATCAATTAAAATTCCAAAGAATAATCGGGTACAACTTTATTTATTTTCTATGTAAATGCTGTGAAAGTCATGGTTCACTTTTTTCATCTAAACATCAATCAATTGCCTTTTAACACTTTATACACAGCACTATGTGTAGCACAACATAACGCATTCTAGCGTATGCCTAATATTTTTATAGTAAATCATAAACAAAAGAAAATAATATTCATTGTGATTTGTTGTGTGTATTATTTATTTAAATATAATCACTTATGGTTTTTCACCATATTTTTGAATTTTCTGATGGATCGGACAGAATAATCGGGAATTTTAAAGGATTTTTGAAAATTTAATATGCAACTTTCTTTAATAGACAAGTGAGTATACTCATGGTACCGTAACCTACTCAAGAGTATATTCTAAACGTACTCTTGAGCATGTTACGGTGCCATGAGTATACTCACTTGTCTGTCAAACGTTTATGCCAGTTTAAGCGTGTTTATGCAGTGAAGTGAATGATTTTAATAAGCTTATTTAAGTGTTTAAAGTTATAAACAGTTAAAAAGAAATAAAAGGCTTTTCTCGAAGATCTAAAGTTGCGCATTGACAGATTGCGGCAAATGATAATTTTACTCGCAAGGGTTTGTCAAGCCATTGGACATAAATTTAAACCTACATTGTATTGTTGGATATGATGATATTACTACCTGCAGACTACAATGAATGAGCTTTGCTTCCATTAAAAAATGGCGTAAATGGTTTATTGAGCATTTAAAAAAATTGTCTAGTCTATAACTTTAGTAAAAGGTGATCATTAAGATAAAAATCAGAAAAATAAAGTAATACTGACAAGCAAAATAATTTCGCCAGTGACATAAAAATAATAAATTTTAGCACATTAATAATTATAAGTATGTTCCTCATGCACACTTTAAATTTATTAAGCAAAGATGACTTGCAAGAAATGACCATTAATTATTTATTTTTTCAGCATTAAAAGTCTCACTCTCTTTTCTTTACATTATCCGAAAAGTCCTCTAGAAAATTAGTCTTAAATCTAATAATCGCATTTAAATGTGTGTACACTCATTGAACTTTCCTCCCCAACAGACTCTGCTGTCCTTTCTTTACTGACATTAGTGGGCTTTCAAAACCAAAAAACAAATTTCTTCCTTATGTAAATATTTTCAAGAATATGATAAATCAAGGAGTATGCATTAATAAATTAAATTGTTTCCATAAAAAAGGGTTAAAAGAAAATCACAAGATTTTAAAGAAAATCTGCAGTCTGATATGCTCTAAAACAATATTTCAAATGATTATTAAAGGAACATTGATTTCGAGTAAGCTAGAAACTATAATTTTATAAATTGATTTACTGTGCGGAGTTTTTGTGAGTCTTAAAAATCATAAATTACCTATTCATTAAAATTTATGAATTGCTTGGTTCCGATGATGATATTTTAAATTTTTGAGGTTAAGAAATGAGACCCTTTTCACAAAATATGATCTTAAAAACAACTGCTAATCCAAGTCATTTCACGAAATTTTTAAAATTTTTCATCAGTATCGACGTTAAAAGTTTAAGTGGCATTGGAGCTCTATTTGAACACATTCCAGCATAGTCCAAAAAATATTCCATTCTAAAGAAAGATTTAGTCTTATTCCCCTGATATCGTCCCCTGCATGGTGGTTAATTCAACTATTCCAAATGTTCACAGATTAAGACACTTAAATTAAATGTCATTTTTTGAAAAATTGTTTTTTTTTTTGGAACCAAAGCATAAGGAATAAATTTAAACCGTTTAACTGTATAAGAGCAGTTACATCAAAATTCATATCGGTAACTACGAACAATTAAATGCCCTTAAGATATTCCTTCATCTTCGTAGCAACTATCTGTATTTTCTGTGCATATTTGTGATCTGAATTTTAATTATGCTTGAAACTGCAGGCATGTGGTTTATCTTAAAATGTTATTAATCATCCGAAATTAATTTTCGTATGGTTAGTTTTTGCTCAAGAATTAATTTCTCTATGTAATAATTCATTTGTTTTTGTTCTATATTTATCGAACTATGTCTAGTATCTCTCAGATGATTCACGCCTTTGCGAATGAGAATTTTCGTTTTTTTTTTTGCTACAATCTGATATCAACTCGAAGGTTTCGTACAGAAATTGCTGTAAACTCGTTTCTGGGACATTTTGATTCAGACATATTCAAAAAACGTTTCTCAATAAATAAAACAAAACACAATTAAGTAAGAAAATTGTTTTCCTCGTTTTGAGCACGTTTTTGCAAAAAAAAAAAAACAAATACATTTGTACGCAGTTTGCTGTTGGTTGGTTGACTGCTTAATATAATTTTTAAATTAATTTTTTTTAACGTGTCTTAAGTTGAAATTGAAGAATTATTTCAACTTGGTGAATTATCGACATTAGAATATTTTATTGTAGTGAGACACTACTGTTTGTGCCTTAAGTTTGCGTTTCAAGCAATTTTACATCAAGGGTAAATTGATTAGCACTAGCTTTAGCTTCAACACTAGCTTTAGCTTTAACTACAGTTTTTAAAATTTTAGCAAATGTATTTGCATAAAAAGCGTGAGGACTTAATACAATTTGTCATTGATTCAACCATAAACTTGATAATAATAAAATGCGCTTTAATTAAATTATTTTTATATTACCATTTTTGAAATTCAGTATCATAGACAGAACAGAAGAATTTTTGTATAAGATTCACTTTCATTAATTGCGTATTTCTTCATTACTCACATGAGAAATTTAAAGTTATGCAGTTTAATGATTGAGTAGCAAAAAACGAGAGAAAATACTAACTTGCGCGTACATTATATACATTAAAATTTTTATATATAAAACTTTAAATGCAAGAACAAAAGAAATGGTTTTTCTTCATGTGAAGCAAAATATTATTAACAATTTAAGTTAATTTGTTTTTTCATACCATTTAAGGGGATTCAGTTGAGATAATCATCATTTTTTAAGTCAAGACAGAAAAAAAATTAATTAGTTATGAGAGTGCTTCACTTTAATTCTTTTTTTAAGATACAAAATAAGAAAGACAAATATCTGCATTTTCTTACATCGCGAGAGAAATGTTAAAGTGATTTACAAAAAACACTTAGATAAATTGCAATTAAATAAATGGAAATGTTAAGATGTTGCAAA